CACCAAGATCTAAGCTAGAAACTTCTCTTCCCTCAGGAGATGTGACGGACAGAGACGCTTTGCTCCTGTGAATAGGTCTGTGCTGCAGATGATGTCTTTCACCTCCACACTAGAAGATGGCTGGACTGGTGGCAGAGCTGTCTGTGATTCCCCGCTGCTCTGCACATCAAAATTGAGCCATCTTATTTTAGAATGGCATTTAACACTAATGCTAAAGGACTCCCTCTCCATGGCTCACACATACCTAGGACCAGGACTGGGGTGGACCCATCACAGGCAAGAGCGCAATCAAAGCTGTCCTGAGTAACAGGAGCTGCCTGGTAATGAACTTGAGAGGGAGCCTGCCATCCTGACCTCGGGAGCAGCCAATTCACATTCTTGCGGGGCAGCAGCAGATTAACAACTGCAGTTTCTCTCCACTGAGACGCCTGAGATCGGGCACCTTCTGTCAGGAATGCCTTGGAGAAGTACGGGTTTTCAGCACTCCAGGAGGTCTGGCCTTAATACAACAAACTTCTCCTTGATTAAAAAAAAAAAAGGAAAGGAAATTTCCTTGGGATTCTAATCCTTCTTTAGGCGAAGTCTGCCTTTTCAGTGCCATGTATAAAAGTAGCTTCTTCGTGTGCCTCTAAAAGCATGTTGGGAGCTGCAGTATAGCTCAGTGGTAGAGGACTTGCCTGGCACGCTCAAGGTTCTAGGTTTAATCCCCAGTACCTGTCCCCCAAAGGGTTAGGTTAGGATGATGTGTGCTATAAAGATGCAGAACTGAGATATCTTTTTGGTCCATTCAAAAGTTTTCTATCACAAAGTAACAGCTCTGAGGTCCTTCCACAGACCAGGTAACTTGTCTGTCTCAGCGTTTTGTCTGTCACCCCAGGAGCTAAGTTTGCTACCCCTCAGGGTTGAGATGAGTAAGATAAGTTACCTGTAGGCACTTTGAAAGCTAAAGGTACATTACAGGAGCATTATGAGGGGCTAGTGTTATTTTGCCATATGGACAATGTGAGATTGTTCTTCTGTATGAGCACTGATACTGTTCGTGAGGATACACATGAAAAGTCCACATATTCATTCACCTAGTATCTGTTAAGAACCTGCCAGGAGTTGTATTAGTCACTGAGAAATGAAAATATTATATGATACCTATTTGCAAATTTACTAAATTTTAACTGTTTTGAATGTACTTGTAGGACATGTATTGCTTATATTAGAAATTAATGAGGGCCAGGGATTTAGCTCAGTGGTGCCTCCACCTGCCTCGCAAGCGCAAGGTCCCAAGTTCGATTCCTGGTACCAAAAAAATTTTTTAAAAATTAATGAAACAATGAACACTGTCCTTCTACCTGCCTTTGGAATCCAGGAACTTATGACACAAACACACATGGCCCTTCTCCTTTCCAGAGTGGACTCCCCAGGTGTTGTTCTTCAGCCTACAGGTGAGGTGCCCTAGGCTGGGCTGTGGGTGCCACCTGCACCTGCCCAGCCAGCAGTTCTTGCATGTGCTGCCCTGCTGATGGGAGGGTTAGTACTGTCCTCACCGTGCATCCAAGGGCATGCCAAGGTCACTTGTGTGGCTCAGTGGGGAACGGAGAGAGACAGGCTTCCAGTCCCATCCCTGCCAGCTGTTAATTTCATTGACTAGTGCCTTCAGCAAGGATGAGCTGCATGTTTTCTGTGCACCTTACTCTTGCCTTGGGTGCTCTTGAAGGACTAAATGACCACAGTGTGGAGGGCTGGATGGAGGAGGAACTCCCTCGATGTAGGCCCCTCCTCTACCCACCAGGACATCTTAGCCACCTTACAGAGAACCGCGGATATGAGCGCTCATGCATTCACTCTACAAAAGCTTCCAGAGCACCGGCTATGTGTAAGCACTGTTCCAAACGTGGGAACACAGAAGGGAGCAAGGCCAGAGAGGTCCCTGTTCTTCCGGACCTCAATTCTTTCCACCGACACACAGCACCCTGAGACCCCACATGGCCACACTGACTCAGCTCTGCCCTCCTGCTATACAGAGTTGACTGAGCTTGGTTTTATACACCCTGTCTTATTTTGACTTTCACTGGTTCCACCGACCCTAGAGTTTTTATAAGGGCCAAACAATCCAACAAGAGGGTTCCTGGAAATACACACACCCCTCCACACAAATGCAACACTTAACTCATAACAACGTCAGATTATTATAGACAGCTAAGTTAGGTAAAAGTATTATAGGCAGTCCGACAAGGCTAAGCCCTTGAAGTAGTACAGAGGATGAGAACACGTTACAACTGTGGCTGGAAGTGCATTTGTTGACAGTCAGGCCTTAAGATAAAGATGGAATGACCAGGCCTACATACCTCCCCAAAGGATAAGTGGTATACTGAATCCTATAATCTACATAGACATCATCACCCAGGTGAGTGACTAGAACCCTCCTGATCCATCCCTTTCTAAAAAGGCCCTTGTTCTTTCCAGGTACACTTGCTACATGACCTACTTTCCCACTGGATCAATATTACCTAAGCGGCTATACTTGTAATCCTATTGGTTGATCATAGTTCTGACCCACGTTGTACCCACTTGGTGATTTTGTGCTCATCTCATGATTTTGCTCTATAAAACTTCCTTTGAGAAGTGATTTGCGTGGCAACCCACTTTCTGGTTCCTGCTTGTCTCTCAGGAGCTATCTCAATAAATTCTTCCTACTCCTAACCTCCATTGTTCCTTAGACTGCATCAATTTTGGGGAATGTAAACTTGGCATATCTGACATCTAGCAGGTTGGGGAATTATATTTATTCCCCCTATATTGGGATCGTGGGACTCCAGCTCAGGGCCTGCACCTGAAAACACTGTTGTCTCCTTTACGTTTCTTTTCACCTATGCTCTCACCTTTCCTCCATATGGAACATGGCACCTACTGCCAGCTCCAGAGTGTGTCTCTGCCCCAGAATGGAGCCGCTGCGGGAGCACAGCAGTTGGTAAACACATCTGTGGGCTTGGGCTCCTCCTTGCCCAGCTGGGTAGGTGTGGATGCAGACACTGGACATAAGTTGTTTCTAAGCAAAGGGGAGCTCAGGGCTGGCTCTCTGTACCTCCCAGAAGGACGGTAACTGCTGCAGAAGGGAGTGCTCACAACCCTCAGGTGCCAGGAGGACAGAACTGAAACTTGGAGCCCTAGACGATGTGAAGGATGAATCCATTCCTCTCAAGAATCCAAATCCCGGGGAAGAGAGCATGACTGGCCTTTTGGGGTCACCCAGCTACTCCTTGGGTAAGAAAAGATATGAGACAGTCCGACCATGACCATAAACAGCAGGAAGGGGATTGTTCTCCAGAACAATGCTGGGGCACAGTACCAGAAGAAAGTGTGAATACCAAAGTGGAGGCCAAAAACATAGCAGAAATCCACCTCACAGGACAATCATACCCACTACAACGATTGGTCGCCATGAGCAAAAAATGGGATCAAACAGTAAAGCCCTTGCATGATGGCTCATCTGTCCCGAGGAAGGTACACATCCAGAGAGGGAGGGAGTGACAAGGTTCAAGATTCCATCATGCTACAACGAACGGCATGCAATTTAAAACTTAAGAATTTTTTTATTATGTTTATTTATTGGTACATTTTAGGTATACAATAGTTACATTCATCATTGGGATCTTGTACCCTTACATGATGTGTCTTGGTTCTTATTTTTTCCCCATTTCCCTGCCCTCCCTTCACCCCTTCCACCCCTCCTTATTTACAAATAATTTGTTTCCATTTCTTTCCTTTTCTTGTATTTTTTCTTTTCCCTTCTTTTCTTTCCCCTACCCCTCCCACTTCATCTACTCCTTTAGACCTTTTCTTCCTATTTCAAGTTATCAATTATACATTTTGATCCTTACTTACACTTTTAGTTTTTCACACTAGAGAAACTATTCGGTATTTACACATGTGTGTCCTATTTATTTCACTTAAGAGTATCGCCTCAATGTGCATCCATTTAGCTATAAATATCTCTAATTCCTTCTTTTTTATGGCTGAGTAGTATTCCATTTTATTAAAAAAACACATTTTCTTTATCCAGTCTCCAGTTGATGGGCATTTGGGCTGTTTCCAAGTTTCAGCTATTACAAACTGTGCTGCTATAAACATGGGTGAGCATATATCATTGTGGTATGATTAAAACTTAAGAATTTTTTCTTAAATTTGCCACTTAATATTTTTAGACATCAGTTGATCACAAGTACCTATCAGGAACCATGAAAAGCAAAACTTCACATTTTCTATTTTTTACCTGGAAAACTGGGCTTGATCTGGTGAAAAAGAATTGCCCAACTCTGCCTATGTGGAAATAAGATCCTGATCCAGCCCCACTGCCATACCCAACCACCTAAGTTGTAGGGCCTTGTGTGAAATACAAATAAAGAGCCCTTGTTCAAAAGGCAGGAAGAAATCCTGTGAGCTGAAATGTTAAAGCTTCATTCTTTCTTTCAGTGTTTCTTGCTCAACTGCCTTAGTGTTTGAAATTTGATTCTAAATTTCATTCTAAGCACAGAGGTACCTTGGCATTCTCCATTAATTGGTTCCAGCAGGTGTGACAAATACCAAAAAAGGTCAGTACCAAACAAACTGTTTTGGCTGTTCAGGGGCAATCCACACTGCCAATTCCAGCTTGCAAACTGAGTATCAAATGACAAAATTTTCGCATCAAAATGCATCAAGTACCAAATTCAATGAGTTCCAAAATAGCTGCATACCAAGGTCTAACTATGCAGAAAAATTAAAAATTTAGATAATTATCAGTAATTTTTACACTCCTTTTGATCATGCAATGCATATAAGATCTGTGTGTGGAATGGCCCATTGTTTTTGGTGCAAGCAGTTGGCCAAGACATGGAAGTGTCTGGTGTAAGGCAGGCTGTGGCAGGGTCGCTTCCACGCTGCTGCTTCTCATGTTTGTACCAAGTTCTGATCAGATCAGAAAGCGCAGTTTCTTGGGATTTTCCACATCATAGACATAACCAGCTTACCTTGCATCCACACTGGGTCTCGAGGATCACCCTCACATCCCATGTCTCTGCATTTCTGGAGGAAGGAAAAGAAGTCACAGACAGAAAGCTGCCTTGTAATAACCATGATGCTCTTGAGTGTCAACAGCTGTGCTGAAGCCCATCTACAGGGGACCCTTGAGTTGTGAACTCATTTCACTCACGAGGGCTGGTTGTGACTCACATTTGTTAACTGAAGGCTCAGGCTCCTCTACACAACCTTCAAAGTCTCTCTCCTGTACACACGAAGAACTCACTGTCCTTAAGAGAGTCACTGGTCTAGGATTTCTCAAGTAACCCCACACAGGAAAAGATGTTGTCAAGTTCCTTTCAGAACTCTTTAAGGGTTAAATCTGTATCTGAGACCATCTGGAAGTATAAGTTGGAACTCATAACCCAAGTTGTTTGCATGTCAGGCCGGTCTTAACTCGAGGGCCCACTGTACTTGGCCTTGTGTGAGCCCTGCACTGCTCTCCACCTCACATCTGCAAAACAGATTCCCTGTGGGCTCCAGGAAGGATTAAAATCCCATGAAACAGATGGAACCAAAGACAAAGCCTCATAAATACAAGTACTGCGTTGTTGCTCTTGTTATAAATGGGTTTGAAAAGCAGCTGGAAAGAGATTTGCCTCTTTTTAAGCAAACGGGATTGACAGAGACAAAAACCTTTGTCTTCACCAGTTTGGAATTTTTTGTGAAAGAAAGTCCTATTGTATTAGAGAACAGGAAATAAGATCTGACACACAAATATTTCTTCTTACCAACTCTGCCTCCGAGAAACTTCTTGGTCAACACTGTTTTCCTCTAAAACCTTGTGGGAGCTCTGAAATCTTCCTGCACACCTGGAGACAGCCTTTGTTACCTGACAGAAATAGGCTCTATCCCGGTCCACAGCAGAACTCTGCCCTCCCGGCTCTGCAGAGCAGGCTACAGCTGCCAGTCACCGGCACAGTGTTTTTTAGGTCTGGGGCCACTTCATGAAATCCCACTTCTGCCTGGATAGCAATTCCATATATTTTTCACTTAAAGTCATGCTTCTACCTTTCTCTTTGTCCGAAAATACACGCTTGGGCCCCAGAATGCTCCGCGTTCCTGGTGGACCAGTCTCACTACCGCTGCTGGGGCCTCTCTAAGCGCTGTGCCGCTGCGGTAGCAGAATAAACACATCGAGAGCTCCAACCTGGACCCATGCGTAGTGAAATCTCCACTCTCTGGCCTAGCTGTGAAAGTAAACGTGAGGAAGGAACACACGGCATGGCTGTCCTGAGCTGAGAAAGGAGGCGTGATAAAATGCCCAAACACATGCGCAGAACAATTCTCAGAGCCCTGCTTGTGGACTTCTCGCGAGAACTCAGCGACCACGTATAAATAAGGAACAGTGGCCATTAAATGCTGGCCACTCTCTCTCTTCACCTTGGGTCACTGTATGCTATAAGGTATATCTTTTTTTTCTCTCTCTTACTCTTATTTCCCTACTTTTAGCCAGTGCTCACTCTGCACAGTCTGGTTTTTTTCTTAGTTAATTAATGTAAAGCTTTGCTACTTTTTATGCTTGTTTCATCCAGTTCTCTGTTCACCTCTAGTAGATGACTACAGCACCCCAAAGCCCGATGACAAAAGGAGAAAAACTCACTATCATGAGCACCTGTCTACACCCCTTGCTCATACTAGAAACCTGTGTACTTGGTGGGCTGCCCTTGGCTGACTGACCCACCCAGTAGCACACAGCGCCCCTCTTTAAACTGCTGCAGTACAAGCTGGTGCTTGTTTAGTGGAAGCAATGGCTGCATCTTGAGCACAGGTGTCACTAGCCAACCCTTTTTCCTATGCAGTGACTTCCTGCCATTCCACTGCAGGGTGAGTCCAAGCCAGTGAGGCCTCCTCATGACTCTAGAGCAAAGGATACAGAACTTGCCACAGGCCAGGGTCTGGATCTTGACCCCCACCCCCACCCCCCTCCCCCCCAGTCCTGGAAAGCTCCAGGATTGGAGGATCTTAGATCAGTGGAGTCAGGAATGTGTCAAGCATAATAAGTGAGATAGATTAGGGCAGAGCAAACTGGTTGAGCAAGTGGGCATGACCTGCCAGTCACAGGGACCCACAACACCTAGGACCAATCAGAAAGTGCTATCTTCAATTCTTCATTTATGTCTGGTACAAAACTAAGTGGGCCTTTGATAGGACAGTTTAGATCAGATGTCAGGCCAAATGAGTTACTGATACAAGGGTCCCAGTGCCTTGTTTGCATGAGAGAAAAGCAATCTGGACAAACCTCCTGTCCAATGTGAACCAACCTGCTCTCACTCTGCAGAGCATATTTCTTTTCCAATCTTAATATAAATCCTCAATATCTTTCCACATACCTTGGAAATATCTTCCATATATCTTGTCCAACTCTTTGTTCAGGACACCAAGAATGTAGAAGGAATTTCTTTGGGACCCAAAAGCTAGTAACATAACCACGGCAGAGGGCAAATAGATCCGGCGCTTCCATGGAGTACCCTATCTGGCTCCCATCCCACCTTCTCCAGGAAGCCTTTCTTCATGTCTCCAGACAAGATGGATTGAACCTTCTTGGAAACTCATGTAGTATCAATAATCTGGACCACATAAGTGTACCCATGGTTAGAAATGCAATATTTTTTTCTTTTTAATGTCTATAGAAAGTTCCTCAAATGAATTTGGAATCAACAGCATTAAAGAATCCTACTAGTTCCTTCATTAATGAGTTAGACTCAGACATGAGTTTATTCTATTTTTTGTGTGAGTCCCATTTTTAACGTTTGAAAATTATACTTTGATGTCATGAAGATCATAAAAAGGGGACAAGTGGATAGAGTGGGTTGAGCGGTGACATTTTAGACTGAGTGTTCTGGGAGGAACTCTTAGAGGGGGTGAAATCTGAGCAGGACCTTGGATGATGGGAAGAAGCCAAGCACCTCGATTTCTGGGATAAGAGCAGGAAGGGCAAGGTGTGCTTCTGGACCTGGGAGGGACCAGTGTGACCAGGGGAGCAGGCAAAGAGAGCAGAGGGGTGAGGTCTAGAAGGCGGAAGATCAGACCCTGAAGAGCCCTCGAGGGGTGGAGACCGGGAGAGCAGGGCCACTTTGATGCTGTCACTGAGGAGTATGCTCTGTCCTTATAACAGGCAAGTAAGCGCCCTTGGGAAGATGTCACACTGCCACCCATGTGTGACACGGCAAGGGAGAGTGACTGGTATCCCTTCATCTTGCCTTGCACCCCAACTTCTGCAGCCTGAAGCCCATTGTTTGTTCACTGTCAGACTTTGGTTTAGGTCAATGATGGGAAAACTTTTAGAGGCGAGTGCCCAAACTGCAACCCAAAACACATTTATCGCAAAGTGCCAACACTGCAGTTAAACCTGAATACTGAAGTTTTAGTTTAGAAAACACAACTCATACATTTAACATCTTTTGTCTTAAAAGAAAAACAATACATGTGTCATAGGTTTGCCACTACTGGTCTAGGCCCTAGCTGGGGACTTTAGGACTGAGGAAGGGGGCACCTTCAGGGCCATCATGGGGAGGGAAGGTCAAGCAAGAAACCAGGCAAGGTCCTTGCTGATGAAATGCAGGTGACACCTTCCTGTCTTAACACACCCTAGGATTCCCTGGATGCCCAGCAAGCCCTTGGAATCACACCTCTTCCACAGAATTGGGTCCCTGGGGCTGCATTACTGACCAGTGCCCCGTAGTGAAACTTTGTGTTCCTCTACTACCGCTGGGGAAGGGACTGTGGGGCCACCAGGGAGAAAGAATTTTCTGCAGAACTCTGCTGGGCTCCTGCTGCGTTCCTGCCACTGTCAGCTACTGCCAAAAACTGGCAGCCATGTGAGAGCCAGGGCTGAGTTGATCTGGGTTGTCACTGGGCCTTAACATAATGTTGCCTGGTGTGTACTCGACATCCCCTATTTTCCTAATGAATGAATGGAGAAACGAGGAAAGACTGAGTTGTGGGGTGTGGAGCTCAATGAGCTCAATGTGGACACTGTTCTGTCACTTCACAGCACTCCCGTGAGCAGGAGTTTATTTACGTCTTTTCAGCGAAGCTCAAGTGAACAGGGAGCAAGATAGGGAGATCGGGGCAGGAACTCTGGAGCTGGGCCAGCTGGGTCCAATGCCTGGTTCTGTCACTTATCAACTCTGTAACCTGGGGCAAGGAAATCATGCCTCTGTGCCTTATATCCTCATCAGTAAAATAAGAAAACCTCATGGTGTTGTCATGAGGATTGAAATAATATTAAAATTTGTAAAGCATTCAAGAGAGAACCTTTCATATATTATGTGTTAGGGCTGGGGATTTAGCTCAGTGGTTCTGTCACTTGCCTCGGAAGCGAAAGGACACGAGTTTGATCCCTGGTACAAAAAAACCCCCCATATATTATGTGTTATGTTAGGATTTGTTAAATAAGGGGAAACTTGCTAAAAATCATATATCCAATCATCAATTGGCTGTCTTATGAGGTACAATAGTTCCTTTTCCATGGTCTGTAGCCAACAGAGGTCTGAAAACATTAGACGGAAAATCTCAGAAACAAATCATAAGTTTTTAAATTGTATGCTATTATGAGTAGTATAATGAAATCTTGTACCCTCCTGCTCTGTCCCACCTGGAATGTGAATCACCTCCTTCAGTGTATCCATGCTATATATGCTACCCACCTGTTAGTCACTTAGTGGGGAAAAAAGCACATAGAGGATTCAGTATTTATTTATTTATTTTTTAAATATGGAACACTTCATGAATTTGTACAGGGGCCATGCTAATCTTCTCTGTATCATTCCAATTTTAGTATATGTGCTGCCGAAGTGAGCACCAGTATTTTGGTTTTGTTTTTGTTTTTTTGAGACAGGGCCTTGTTATGTAGTTCAGGTTGGTTTGAACTCACCTTATAGCCCAGGCTGGCGTTGAACTCCAGCCTCAGCCTCCTGAGTGGTGGGATTGTAGGCATGCACTACCATGCCTAGCTGGGGTTCAGTATTATACATGGTCTCAGGCATCCACTAGGGATCTTGGAATGGCCATAACCAGAAGAATAAGAGGATGTTTAGTTCTTCATGAGAATTAATAAGAAATATTATCTATTGAGCACTTTGATAAGCACCTTACATTTGTTACCTGATTCTGAAATTACAATAACTGTGGAAACACAGAACACAGAGGTTTTTGATGACCGGAGGTCCCTCAGTTTGGACTGACAGACCTAGGGGTCTATGGCCTCCAGAGCATTGTCCATGCGGACATGAGTCATGCTCAAAGTCAGGGAACACCTGCGTGGGAACCCTGGAGGAAAGGCAGGTGAGCAACTTCGGGCCAGAGCCTGGGACTTGGTGATAAGAAACCCATTGTGCTGGGGCTTGAGGAAAGTGGGCGGGAGTAGGGAGGGAGAGGCAGGTTTTTGCAGCAATCAATCAGTCAGTCAACCACCCAACCAGCCCACCAGGCCAGGGACAGGCAGTGTCAGGCCACAAGGGAAGGAGGCGTTTGAAGGCGGCTTCACCAGCCCCAGGTGCACGGCAGGTTGGCAGGTGGCCAGGCAAGCTCCCCAGACCCGACAGCATCCCTGGAGGCAGGAGGAGACGGAGTCCTGGGGAAGGAGGGAGCAGCGGTCCATGGGCTGGAGGACATGGATGGGGCTTCCCCTGGGAAAGGGAGCAGCAGGGTAGAGATGATCTGCTCCAGAGTGAGTTTGAGGACTTAGTTCTGTGCTTCCAGGGAAACGGGGACAGATAAAGTGAGCTCTGTGACTTCATTTCTAGTGGGGCAGCTGCTGTGCAGGACATTCCTGCTCCAGGGCCTGGTGGTAGGGCTGCACCTGCCCTGCCCCAGCCTGCAGGCCATTGCTACCGTTGCCCTCACTGTGGGCTCCAGGTGATCCAGGGTGGGATGGCAAACTCTAGTGATGTGCACATCTCATCTTCCCCAAATCTGGCCTCAAGGACAGTTAGCAGTGATCTCTACCCAGTGCTCCAGGCAGCAGCATGAAAGAGTTTCTGCTGGAGCTGGAGGGGACCCCTCTTCCACCCCAAATGCAGGGTCTGGAGCTCCAGCACCCTGGCCCCATTTCCATGAAGTAGTGAGAGGGCTTCAGGGAAACCCAGAGGTATGGGGTGTCCCTGGCAAGGACAGGAGGAGCAATGGATTCTGGTCACTTAAGAGCAACTTAGGGCTTCAAGACTATTTTCTTCCCTGTAGGGGAAACAAATTATATCTACCTGCAGATCCTTCGATGCAGAATAAGGTCATGAGGGGAAGTAAGGAAGTAAGTAAGAAATTGTGTGATTCTTA